TATTCACTAATAATTATATGTTAATTGAGACACAATTAATTTGCCGCCGATAAAACAAAACAAAATGAATTACCGATTCACAATGCTATATTGATATTGAAAACTACAAGATTATAGAAAACTACAAGTCATCTTATATATAGCTGTTTTCGCTGGTAGTTTGAATGAACTGATAGAATTTTAAGTATTTTGCTGTAAAATCTATAATAAAAATTATTATAATTTTTACGTTGAATTTTTTTTAAGTTACCTTTTCTTTGATAATACAAAATGACCGATATTCTACAATATACAAAAATAATATTTGAAATCACACTTGCGTAAAGACTACTTTCGAATGTCGATAGTCGACAAAACTGTTTTCACAACATTTGACTCGCGTCCGCGAATGCAATATCGGTTGGCATACTCGCATGTCGACACCGGAACAAAACACGGGAATCTTTAGCTGGTGCAACTGCTCTCAGCAAATTGTATTGTGGTCTTTCTGTAGAACAGAAATGGTGGCTCTATAATTGGCTATATCTATATTACACATCTTAGATCACTTCTTATTTCTTAAAATACGGTTCTATTTCATTTAATGTCGTCCTTTATGTTTTATTGTAATGTTTAGTGTTTTGTGTTTGCTGTTTCAGAGGTTAAGCAACTTTCCTCAAAGTCTTTCATCGGATGGGTGATATATAGCCTAGAGACCCCGAAGTCTAAGTTATAGTAAAATGGTTTCATTTAGACCTTTTTAGTATGGAACAATCAAAATGACCACACTACAGCACATCAGAAGTGCTATTATTTTAAAAGTACAGCATCGTGTAAGTACTTACAACGTCGCGTCAGAGCGTTTCACATTCAATGAATTAAAACTTAATGCTGTGAAAGAAAGCGCTGCGTTAAACATTGTATTTTAACAGAATAGCATTGATGGATCTTCTATCAGTTATGGACCAATATTTTAGCTTATCCTGGCATTAAATATTAAACAGTCAATATTATTTATTTGAGTATTCATAAATTAGCGACATTGAGTATTGGGAAATCACTGCGGCTTACCACAAATATAATTAAACTCAAATTGAAGATGTCGTAAGCAGTGCTTGCCGCGTGATTGTATAAAGACACCGTTACCACGCTTTGCAGGAAAAAATCATAGTTAGTACACAAAAATTTCATAAGGTTAATCATATTCATGTATTTTTTCTCTCTTGTTTGACCTGTTAACGTGAGAGATAAAATATAAAAAGATGTTTATAAACACGTTGCTAGTTTTGATGTGCCTACTTTAAGTGAAGGACAATTACTGCTTTCGTTAATATTACTGAGTTTATTTTTTATATACATGAAGATGAATTGGTACAGTTATATGAAACTGCTTGACAGTGACTTAGACGTTGTAAGTCTGGAACAAGCTTTAAAAAGGTTCGCTAAAGTTGTTATAATAGCATTCAAAGTCACGATTATAGAAGCTACGATTAGGAGGAATCATATTCCTGACTGAAAAATAAAAGTAAAGAAGAATTTCATCAGCAAAACACGGGCCAGTGTTCTGAAATCTATGGATAAAAAAAGAAGTTGACCGAAATTGTCAAGAACATTGACTTTAAAATCCTTAAGCAGCAGGCCTGATGAGTTCTGAATCGCCTTAGTGTTAAAATTATCGGTCAAAAATCATATCCGCTCACCAGGTTCATCCTGATGATCCTAAATCCTAAACCAAAATATCCTTTAAATTGCATAAGACTATAAAGTGACGACAACACACACTCAGAATTTGCAAAACATGCGATAATCGAAAATTTTTTTTGACAGTCAGACTTGGAAAACAATATACATTCTAACTACGAACATCTTTCAATCTCTCAGAGTAGTGAGTAGGTTAAATGTCAAATTTTTAAATTAAGAATCTTTCGTTTTATTGTATTTCGTGTGTTAGTGTCTTAAGTCAACAATACTTTAACATCAAAAGATTTTTTTAAATCTAACAAATTATTTTAACAATATGGCATCTGTTTACCGCCATATTAGTTTTCAGCAATTTTAAAAACTAGTTTGTGTGTCATTTAAATTTACAAAGCTTATTTTTATATATATATATATATATTTTAGAAATACATAATTTTGAAATTATTCATAAAAATTTAAATGACAAGGGGACTAAAGACTAAAGACTTTGGTCTCGAAAATTATTTTGCTTAATTAAAAAAAATACGGAAAATAGTTCTATATCTATAGACACAAAAATTTTGGTATAAAAAGTTTATGGTTTTCAAATTTTAATATTTGTGTGCGTTCCACGAAGTTTAACTCGCTCTTGGCCGGTTTTTCTTGTAACCTTGATCAATGAATAGCATATAAACAAGAAAATATTTTTGGATATTCTTAAATATGTAAAGTAATGAACAATCTAGTGATAATTAATACCTATTATGATTGAAATTAAAAATTACCCTCCAATCCGCATTGGGCCAGCGTGGAGGGTCATGGCCCATCCTTCTTAACCATCCATAAGGAAGGCCTGAGCCCCTGCAGTAGGGACGTAAAAGGGCTGAGGATGATGTTTGAAATAGTAATCATTGAAATGTTTGAAATAGGAAAGCAAAATATCAATAAGCTAGAGTATTCCCGCGACTTTAGAGCATATCCTCGCCTGTGTGTGATGTAGTTTCCAGTGAGTGAAATAACTTTTAAAATAGGTTTTAATGATTCGTAGTTTATTATTGAACACAAACAATCTAATTTTTCCTCTTTATAATTTAAGTATAGATAAGGAAACGGATACTTTTCACTTTCATCTTATTAATTGTAATAATAAGTCACTTCCTATATAAATAAAACTAATAGAAATTCCTGTAAATAATAAAAATATTTTTCAAATATTTGACTCGATTAAGCGTGGATTTAATTTTATAGTGATTTAACATTGTTTCTATTGATTTAACATTATTATTTTTGTAATCAAAGCTCTCGTTATGGTACTGGGTTACGCGTACGTACCATTTAATACAATGTTGCAGAGGCAGACAAAGGAGCTCGCGCTACAAAACTGTGATTACTAAAACTAGTTTAGAAAATCCAAATATTGTTTTGTTATCTACTGCATTTCTTTTACTAATCATAAAACGGTGATTTTCATCGCTTTTAAAATATTTTTATTGATAAATTCTAAAAGGCCTCTCTTTGTGCCTTTATGGAGTATTGCAAAAAATCTATGCATCCGAATTCCACCGCTCCGGGTAAGCCCGATAGCATTTGTATGATGTCAATCTATGTATTTTGAACGAAAAAATAATGGACATTTTAGTATTATCATTATTATATATTTGATCAAATTCGCATTCAAAATGCTATACTGAATAATATTCTTAATGAAAAATGTTTAAACAATCCACTTGGTCCCTGGCACCCTGAGATGTGATTCGAACGCATGACCTTTCACAGTCAGATCATATCGAAGTATTTTTTTTAGTCTAGGCTGTTATAAGCACTTGTGAAAGTCGAGAGCTACGCCATCGGTTCGTAAATCTACGGTGGGAGACCTTATACCGAGAAGAATCGGCAAGAAACTCGGCAAGGGCAGCTTTTTTCTCCCTGTTTTATTGAATATAAATATAAATGACATCCAATAGCATATGAGTACCATTCAAAATGTTAAATTGCCGTAACTGACTTGAACTAAATTGTTAAATCAATATGGTAAATATTGTAAAAGCAGTAGTCATGTACTTGTTTAAAATAAGAAGAATTTAGTATAAAATCAGCTCTTATGTCCCTTTTGTATAAATTTGACTGTACATTAACACACATAATTGTCGTAATTAATTTGTAATTTTTGATATCAATAGAGGTTCGTTGGAAACATAGTATAGATGTGGTGGACTCGCGTTCTTGCAGGTCTTCGGATTTATTACTTGCAGATGCTATACCTCGTTTACTAAATTAAACACTTTAGGGGTCGTCCATTAATCACGTGAGGCTCGAAAGGCGGGGAAGGGATTCGTCAAAAATCACGAAATATCATAAAAGGGAGGTTAGTAACATATCACGCGCGATTACTAAACCGAAAAGCGACGTCAAAACTTAAGATTTTTTGTATTCACTAAAATACACGTGATTTGGGTAGAGGGGGGGTAATCTTAAACTTCGCCATGTGGAGTTTAAGACTACCCCCCTAAGACCATCACCAGGGGGAGGAAAGTTGAAAATGTTGAAAAATATCACGTGATTAATGGACGGCTCCTTAGGTGTACGAATACATTTGTTTTTATGCATAAACAATAGCAAATGACATTGCCATTAAAATTTAAAAAATATTATTTTTAATTTATCATTGCGTAAAATGAGTTATATAGGTAATATATTCACAACAATATACATACAACTAAAACAACGATTAAAAGTGATCGTTTTTATGAAAAATTAAACTATTTGTTATATTGAGAATAAATATATATAATAACTTTACTAGCGAATACAACTAAAATCAGGGTAAACTATTAATACATATCCTTTCCGAAGTACGAAGCAGCACGATCATTTCGATCACCCATTCTATTACCTTGTTTAACCTCCGTTATCAGCAAATAACACTTCTTCTCGAGCTCCAGTTCAAAAAGTTTTTAATCAACAACAATTTGTCTTCTACTCTCCTCAACACTCTCTAAAGTAACTGTGCACTGTTGTAAAAACAGTTTTCATGGCCAAGGGCGCCGAGTTCCACTACTTTCGATACAGCTATCTAAGAAATATGACTTTCGTTTGACGCACTTAGCATTCTGCTTATGCGAAACACGATACATACAGTACATAAGTATACTTTTCCGTGTTGACAGGAGAACAATACTCGTACGTTGTATAACTAAACCTGCTAAAAACAACACATCTTTAAATAAGTCAAACATATCATTCATAATATATTATTTTAAATAAGAATACATCTTTCGAAAATAAATAGTACCAACTGATGCATAGACGTCTGTTGGGTACTTTTTTACCGAATAAACTGCATTAAACTCAAAAATTATTCTTGTATTATCTTATAAAGCTAAGGAAAACTTTCCCGTGCCTAGTAACTAATCGTAAACGACCGTTTTACTATTTATTGTTTATACAATAAAAACTATCAATCGTCGAGACTCTCGTTCACTATTGGTGTAGTGACCGCTCTCAAGCGGACGCGCGTTCCTATTTCAAATCATTTAAATTCCGCGCGATTATTTACAAAAAAAAATAAACATTCATAATACGTGCAAATATTTATACATACAAAAATTCGTATTTCGAATTATCAAAATACGCGCCAGCTTTAAAAAAGTATTTGAACGTTTTGTGTTAAAAAAAGTTTAAATATGGATCCCGAAAAGAAGGAAAGTGAAGAAGTGACAGTTGACGATATTTTAAATATTCTGGGTCCGTTTGGGAAATTCAATATTTTCAACTTCATACTTATCTTGTTTCCCGTTTATTTAGCGGGAATATATGCATCGGTGTATAATTTCGAGAGCATGGATTTGAATTACAGGTAAGGAAATAATATACTACTCTCTATTAGTAATTAATAAAATGGCAGATTAATGATCTATTTATTTTATACAAGTTTTACAAATTACAGTTACACTAAATTAATAATAACGAATTCATATAAAAACTACCGCCTAATGAAACTTCCAAATGTTTTAAAATTGTCAAAATATTTGAATAAGATTATTATAAATATTTAATTTTACCTATACCATAAAATATTTATTGGTATTTCACACAGAGTTACGATTACAAGAAAATATTTATATGGAATTAAAGTTAAAAAAGGGAATATATTTTAGCAACTGTAATAAAATTTGATATTCTCAAACAGTTAATTTTTAATGCAAAGTCGATGTGGAATTGGGTCTTTCTTACATTGCCCTTTAAGTAAGCGATAACAGGTTGGTAACCTGGGGTCCTATTACGATACATTCACGCCATAATAATTTAAAATAAATATATATAACGGCGGGTAGTCCGAAGGGGCTATTACGAAGCCCAAATAGATAGTCCATATCGGAGGACTATCTTTAAAATAACACTGCAGGCGTGGTATACCAACATGGATTTGTTCCATTTATCACTTTTCATACGAAACTATAACGAGATGAGCGTGATGTCATCGGATGTCTTTACTCCTCGGCGATCGGAAACAGAATGTGTGCCAAAATGGCGGCAACTCGCTTTTATTAACGAACTGTCGAAGTCAGTGTCACCATTCTAATAAAATTAAGGTTATCGATGATCACGCTCTCTTTACAATCGAGTAATTAAGTAATCGAGTAACTAGCAATTTAAATAAAAGAAACTAAATCAAACGATCTTCGTAATGATGATGCGACACGGCCATTCTGGGAGACGGTGCGTGCTCTGCGCCAGTCACGTTTCTGTAACGAAATACAAGAGCTTTTCTGAGCTAGGTATCTGTAAACCTAGTAATTTGGGAATTTTGATTTGAACAAGATTTCGGCCATCTTTTTTTTTAAACATCAAATTCATTACCAACGGGTATTTTATCACAATTGTTATAAAAACGGTAGTTAAGTTGTTTAGGAAAGGTTTAGGAAAATTTAGGAAATTGTTTAGGAAAATGAGCTGTTTTATCGAGTATATTTGGTAATGCAAATGCTCCACGCATACTTGCATTGATTATTGTACTTGTAGCAAGTGTGATGCTGTGGTCATGAGCGGTCCTGTACGCCATGATCCACAGTAGCTCAAAAGGAGATTGGGAAAGGTCGATGCTGGGGTCTGGGTCTTACATGAGACCGTGGTCCCCAGAGGCTCTAAAGGAAACAGGCAGGACGAAGCTGGGGTCTGGGCCTTATTTATGACCGTGGTCCCCAGAGGCTCTGTGAAACGACTTAAAAGTTGGGAAGTTCATAGGATGCGATTTATACAGTCATTTCATAAAAGATTTTTGATTGTTGAATTGAACTTTCATGAAAATATTATCTCTCTATCAAACATTGAGAAATATTGAGTACCTAATAGTACAACTAACCATTTACTAGGCATCCAATTGATATGCAGCGCGATAGATTCTTTTCTCGGTCAGTCCTGACTTCAACTAAAGCAAGATTTTGAAACCAATCGAAACTTTAATGATTAGAGACCGTTTTTACTTTAAGTTTCTTTAGTAATAAGAATTTAAGAGTTGATAAATCCTATCATCAAATGTTATTTACAATGAAATGATTCATAAACAACAAACTGGTTTGAGAACCTCGATCGCACCACTTAACCAGCAATGCAATCACACTTTATCGATTTTATTTTCACTTAACTAGTGATTTTAAGAGTATTACTCATTCGATTGCCATGAATTCTTCACGATATTAATAACTTTATAAGGGAGCACTCGACTCCAGTATCATAACAAAATGAAAACGACTCACCAAAATACTGCAAAATATTAGCAAGGGTAGCAATGATGCAGACGTCTACACGTCGCTCACTAACAATGCCAGCAGACGAGCCATCAGGTTTGCCACCGTTGCATCTTCTTCGCCTTCAGGTATCTTGAGAGTAGTGACTATCTGTTCCACAATTGAAGAACTTGACAGCAGCGTTCGGGTTACTGTTCTTCATAGTAGGAACGCTAGGTTCTCCTTACGAAGGCTTTAAGTGTTTCTTCTTGTATCGACAGGCAGAAATGTTTCGTCCATACTCACTTTGCCAGGATTGAGTTCGGGCAGATGCACACGTGATTCGACGACGGCACATGTGACTTACGTGGATGAGGACGAAAAAGTTTTGATTTTGTTACCGCAACAAGATTCTCCATATCCATGACATCTGTGTATCCACTTGGTCGGTTACATCCCACTTCTGATAACGGCGGGTAGTCCGAAGGGGCTATTACGAAGCCCAAATAGATAGTCCATATCGGAGGACTATCTTTAAAATAACACTGCAGGCGTGGTATACCAACATGGATTTGTTCCATTTATCACTTTTCATACGAAACTATAACGAGATGAGCGTGATGTCATCGGATGTCTTTACTCCTCGGCGATCGGAAACAGAATGTGTGCCAAAATGGCGGCAACTCGCTTTTTATTAACGAACTGTCGAAGTCAGTGTCACCATTCTAATAAAATTAAGGTTATCGATGATCACGCTCTCTTTACAATCGAGTAATTAAGTAATCGAGTAACTAGCAATTTAAATAAAAGAAACTAAATCAAACGATCTTCGTAATGATGATGCGACATATATATTTGAATTGAACAACTTTAAATCTTATTTTCTTTCTTATTAAGTATAAAAAATGTTTTTTATTCTGCAATTGGATAACAATTTAAAATTAAAACTTTAAATCTTCGATTTAGAATAAAATACTTCAAACGACATTCATTTTGAAATCTTAATTCTCTTTATGGAAATAATTGAAGTTGTGCAAATTTTAATACAAAAGTTAGACATAAGTTCTCGATTAGTATGCGAATGATTTCGTTCAGAGGTTTCTGTGTTTTCGTAATGCGTTTTCGTAGTAACCCCCCTGAATAACATGAAGAACGCTACAACATTCCGTTAGTAGTTTGTGACTCTTAACTCCAACCAAGCGGCTTAACTTTATGTTACTTAAAACGGAGGAGTAGGTTAAGAAAACAAAAAATAATAATACTTTCTTATATTTTCCTGGGAAATAATGTAAAAAAAAACTCGTTTCTTTCTCACTTTTATCGCATTTCATAGCAAAGGCTTCGATTGAATAGAATTGTTATCAAATTGTTAATGCTATAATACCATATTCCGTAATATTTATAGTTATGTTATTATTACGAAAATGGTGTGTTACAAAAGAAAATGCGTGTTTATCTGAGTGTTTTGTAAACGCAGTTTACAATGAATTCTGTAGTTATCTATATTTATATCACATTTTATGAATAAATTAATTTAGGTACTGACTTCTTTCACACAGGTTATACGTAGCGCAGATTTAGGAGACTTCTCATTGTCTTATTATTATATGACAATAAAGTCATTATTTAATATTTGTTTGACAATAGATCTCTATAAAAATCTTTATTATGATGTGTAACATTGCTTGATTTTTTGTATCCCTTGTTTCTCAAAAGAACAGATACAGTTAAACGACGCTGTAATTAGCCATTTAATATAATGGTAGCAATTCTGTTGGGCAAACCAGACTAAATTTAGGTTTATTCCATAGTTTAAACTAAGCACTAAGATTTTGTCCGCGTTTTATAACATGACTAAATATATATTGTCATAAAATATCTACATTGATGTAAATATTGTAAAAAACTATTGTTATTATTTCTTTGATAACGTAAAGAATAATAAAATATATAAATTTAAGTTAGCATTTTTAATTTAGTTAAGAAAGTGGAACAGCAGAATTGGCACCATTATCTAATCTTGGAAAAGACTTCGGAAATCTTCACACAGTAATTGATTATGTTTTTATGGAGTCTTTCATTGAGATAAATGTTTCTGTTTTCACAAAACCCTTGATCATAATGTTCAATTATTTATAAATGCTTTAACATTAAATATTTCCAAAAAAAGACAATTTTACGCCTTGAAATGTACACTTTTTAACTGTTATATTATTTTCATGATAGGTGTTAGAAATTTCAATATCTACAGTGTTATATTAATGGAAGAGCGGGATCTCCCAATTCAAGCAAAAAATTTGCTTAAAAAGAGTGTCCAAAACTATATAAATGATATTGTCTAGAGTCTAGATGATGAAGTTATTTCTTTTTTTTTTCAAAGAGTTGCTATGCATGCTTTAATGAATAAAACATCTTATTTAATAGTTAGTTATTCTACACTCGTACTTAATTCACCTATCAGTATTGCCGGTAAACATTTTTTAAATATATTTATCTTAAGTAATTTATGTATTAGTTTTTAAATTACGAGTGGTGGTGGCTGATCTCATATATTTGTTTGTATATGTAGGCACTGACGTCATTTTTTGAATTGACGTCTTATTAATAAAAACCGGAAAAAAAGCTTTGCTTAGTTTTTGTAGGCTGTTCTTAATACAAGGCCTCGGGCGTAGATTAATGAACTAAACGGCGTGCGGTGTAACATTCTAACGTTCACATTCAATAGTTTTAACGATTAAAATATTTTTATTTTAAAAATAATAAACTAAAAATGTTTTGTCCAATGCTCTCTTGATAGAACTTCAATGAGATAGAACCTCTATTACATTTTATTGAACCTCTATGCTGTAACAGCGCTGCGTTCACTGCGTTATTATAACAAAATGGCACTGCTGGTGGGAATGCCTGATAAAAGAATAGAAGAAACTGATATAGAACCAAAAAGTAGGAAGACATTTGTAAGGAAGGTCCAACACGTATACAATCGGCGTGCAGATATCTAAAGAGTTATAAATAACAAGGTAACCAAAGAGGTTTGTAAAGACAGTGCTTCGAGGCGCGCATCTTTCTGAATACCTCGTAAGCGATGCAGTATTCATTTATACATAGTTATAGTTAAATAAGATACTTCACTGTAGCAAGTACTCTATAGAAAAAATCTTAATCAAAATTTAAAAAAAAATTAAAAATGCGAAAGATCGTTAGGACAAATAATTGTTATTTTTTCAAGTAAAATCTACTGAACAGTTTAAACTTAGATAGGCAAAGAAGTCTAAGATCATAAACCCAAGAATCAGAAGCCTTATATTCTTTTTTCTATTAAAATATGGATGACTAGATTCCAATTGAATTAAAAACGAAGATATTTGAGATTTAAGTTTTCGACTAGATTGTAATTATTTTGATTATATTATGGCGTCCCGAATTGAAATTGATAATTTTGACAGCTTAATGAAACTCTTCCGTTAGCAAATAGGCAAAAAAATTTACACATAGAATGGCACACAAAATTGGTTCTGCAAAAAACGGCCAATAGCGAAATCGTAATTGCGGATAAAGGGTTCCACACCAATATTAAATTTTAGGAACCTTAAACACTATAGGTTTTCCTTTAATTTTTAGGTATAGAACTATTTTCTTTATTTTTTTCCAAAATCATAATATTTTCCCAGTAATTTCGGAAAAAGATATAACGACTGCCATTGTTCGTCTATTTTGTTAAATAACTTAAAAACCTTTTATTTCAAATATATAAAAATAATATATTTAATAAGCTATATAAGTCCAACGAATTCAATGGGGAGAATGAGCCATGACCCATCATTAAAATTAAAGTTGATAAAATTGCGGAACCATCAAAAGTGTCGTATTTTTGGTGGGCCATTAAATTGCGAACAGTTAACGGAAGTCAGCGACAGACATTACTACAATGGGCATTATTATTTTGGTTTTGTTTGATTCCATTGTAAAACTTGAGTATTTGTACAGAAAAAAATATATAAAAATTCAAGTTGCAAATGCTTTTGGATCTCGGTCTCACAGCTGGGTGGACCCGTGATAAAATTATTGTAGTATGGACTTTCTCGCGAATCAGAAATCCGAAACGTCGTATGTACCAGTGTGCCAAATTTGTAAACTTAGTAATGTTGTTAATGAATAACCAGCTAACAGGATTTACAAATGTGTATTAATTATTATTAATACACTCTTTTAAATATATTTAATAAATACGCAAAAGCTGGTAAAACAAACTTCCTTCTTGCGCTGTTCATAATTAAAAGAGAAAAATTATTGGGAAATTACAAAGAAAAACTTGAAACGACTCGAAGTGAATATTCACAGCTCGCTCAACAATGTCAGCGACCTGTCTTGTACTTTTTAATTTGCTGAAGTTATTATATAGAACTCTATTTAACTTTCCTGCTGCTTAGTTTACTTAGTTAGGTACATAATAAGGCTTTTAACGTTTATATCGAAAAAGAAACGAATTTCTTTATTGTTAAAATTGACAATTTTAGTTAAGTTAATCACCTGTAAAAGATCCAGTACGCAGTTCTCATTAGATTATTTATAATGATCACACATCCTTATTCTTAGCTATAATAATCTATCACACACTTTATTGATATTTATTTTATTATCTTCAATATCACAGGAATTGTCTATGATAGAAAACTTTGAAATCGTTTAGAATCGGGAGCGGAATGGTGGGTGTTAAAGGCTGCAGATGCTAGGAGCAACGGTTTATCTGCCTTATAAAGAAATAATGTATTGGTCACTCATCATATTGGCCCTTGCGAATGTTTCTTAACCTACGTATCTCACATCGCTAACGACTGCGCTATCGAGCTAGATATTTTCTTATCTACTCACAAATCTAATTAAGGACCGGTAATCACAGCGAGCAAGTTAATGATGTCAAAGTGGTCATTCCTATACGATTTGTTGGTATTTTCCTCAATGACGTTACAAATTAAAAGGTTTAGTGTAGGTAATGACCTCGTACCCAAAAACTCTGCATTGTTAATTTGCAATGCACGCCCATTGAACTGGCTATTAACAAAAAGTCCCAACAGGCTCCAATCTCATCGTATTTTCGAACCTGTCAAAAATATATTTTTATAAACTCATTATTCATTGGAGATTAACAAAAAGATCAATTGCATGATATATTTTTTTGGTTAAAGTATTTTTTGTAACAAAAAAGTCCATCCATCTTTAACTGTGTTGCCAACGTCCTGTGTTCAAAAAATAATAATGATAATACGTCATCTTTTTCATGATAAAGTTTTATTATTACACGTTTTTATACAGATTTTATTTCTGCAAAGAAAAATAACGTAGAGATGGTACAAAGCAAAATTAATGAATTATATTAACAACTATTAAATATCGTTATGCTAACTTTCGAGTATTATAGATTATTATTATCTGTGGTTCAATGAACAATTAAATATTTGTCTATTGCATAATTAGAACACCTTGCTCTGACACAGACACACGTTAACGTTTTTGACCCTCTTAGGCAAGTTTGGATTTGTTTTAATCGATTATGGTTTTGGTTTAACTGCGTATTTAATTTCATTCAATATGTATTAGAGTGAATTTAAAGGCGTCAATTTTGGCTGCGGCAGTCAAATATTAGTACATAAATAGTTTCGGAAAAAATCAAGGATACAAAATGTTTATTTGCAAAATCATAACAACGATTTATTTTGAAACACCAACAACAATTACTTTTACGCCGTCATCTTTTAACTTAGTAACAGAACAACTTGATTAAATTAATCAACACTAACGAATTCGGTCTTCTGTTTATTTGTTTACGGCAGTTATCGTTGGAAATGTTGATTTGTTTAATGAAATAAACAAACTGTCGAAATGTCGTATATTTAAGTAAAGGTTAATGGCCTAATTTGATTCACAAACGTGGGCATTCTACGGTATTGATGAGATCATAAATAAGAATCACAACGATGTAGAAACATAGTCCCAATATACTTTATTGACTCGACAATAAAGTTATTTTAATCTATTCTAAATAAAAAATTATTGGTATGTGACACTGTTTACCACTATAAGAGCAGAGTCAAAGTGCTATCAAATCATAGACACATTCATAGTCTACCTATAGACAGAACTATCTCTATCTCGCTACATCTTCAGCAGTTGTAATTTATTATAAAAACCGCCTCGAACTCGATCTCGAGCTCAAACCAACCACCTAATATAATAAAAGGGAGGGCAAGATGGAAGGAAGGAAGAATTCATATAATGGACAATATTAAGTCATCTACCGCGGGTGCTGCTATACACAAAGAAACAGATAGCTGAGCTAGAAATGGGGCAGATGATCCGGTTTTGACCATTTAAGATTGTGACCTGGTTTTAACCATTTTAAGAGTTACAGAGAAAGTGAACTTGGTCACACCACAGCTATTAATGCCATTAATTTTGCTATAGTATAATACAGCAGTTTCAAAGCGGTTCAATGTAAATAAAATGCCTTTGAGTTAATTGGAACGCCTCGAAGTGCCAAAAGCTCAAAAAGGGGCAGTGGCCGAAACCGGAACTTCTGCCCTGCGAACGTAGCGCGATTCGTACCAATCAGAATAGTGAACAAGCTATGTGATTGTTTGATATAGAAATATTACAAAAACATCCGATTCAAAGGTTTGATCTATTGAAATAATTAAGAAATATGATTACTTTGTTTTCTAAGTAAATATCTGTTACAAAACAAGTACATATATAGTTTGGTAACATTACCGAAGAAAGATTATCGTTGTATAAATTATAATACTACCGTACCATACCGTAAAGGCAAGGTGGAAATTTGAGATTAATGTCATAATGGAAGGACATAAAAAATTTAAGTACTAACAATAAACTAAATTATGATTGTAAAAACATTAAGAAAGATAAAGGAATGTGAAAACTGAAAATAACAGGAAAATGTAGCGAAATAATAATTCACAATTTCCCGAAATACCTAAATCTTTATTTGGTTTTATTAGTTAACTATAGCTAGTTTTATTAATTAGCTATAGCTAACTATCTAATTTATAATATCAATGAATATGTAGATATTCTTTAAAATGTTCTTGTTTTAGCATTTACACATTTAATCAATGATTTTGATTGTTGTAATGTCCTGAATGAAGTTTAACTAAATTAATTATTCATACCGACTTGCCAGTTTCTATTACCTGTGCTATTACTTCTGTGAATCTACCTTGTACTTTTGCAATCTAAACAGTTGTTTTTGTTTAAGGGTGGGTTTTATTTATACTATATACTTAACAAGGAATAAGTTACAATGTACCTCATTCCCCTAAAGTAATGTGAATGACCATGAAAGTTTAAAGCAACATAAGTATAAATGGGGGAAATGTACTAATTCAAATTCTCGTTCTAGATGTGCAGTGCCGGAATGCAGCGAGGACGAATCAAATCTCAACTTCACGATTCCACACGACGACAATGGTAAACCTTACAAATGTGTCCGCTACGCGCCATTCAGCAACAAGACCATCTTCGAGAATGGCAGTTACTGCACTCCATACCACTTCGACACGTCAACTGAAATAGAATGTGACGCTTACGTGTATTTAGAAGAACATTCTATAGTTAAAGAGGTAAGTCAAATCCCTTCTCGATATTATTTCTGTTAACCCACACAGCGAGCTGTGTGTAGCCTGCAGCTACTTAAACTTTACGCACTGCTGCTCCACAAGCGCAACTATCAATGAATGAGTATTTCAAATAAGTTAATCTCGATATTGAAATAGATGTCGCTCGTACATTGTTGAAACCTTTGCAGTGTTAAATCTAAATATCTATTAATGTTTCATCATAGTATGTACACCACGGAGTTAGACATACCCAACTGCACCTAAACTTCTATTTGACATCCCAGAAGTTATCTCAAAACCTACACAGTATGTGCGCGACTATTAAAAAATTTTTTTTTTTTCAAATATCTCGTTTCCCGTGTGTGTCAATATTGTAGTAAGTATGAATTATACTGCATATACTTTAAAATATACCCTTTATTTTATATTACGGGCCGTCCATTAATCTCGTGAGGCTCGTAAGGGGGGGACGGGGTTCGTCAAAAATCATGAATTATCACAAGGTGGGGAGGAGGATGTAATATTATATCACGTGTTATTCTTTTCCTCAACCGCACGATTACTAAACCGAAAAGCGGCGTCAAAAATTAAGATTTTTTGTAGGTACGAAAAATACACGTGATTTGGGAGGAGGGGGGGGGGTATAGGATTTAGGCACAAATTATTTGTATATTTTAAGCCTTATAGGCTTAACATTTAAAATTAGAAATATCTACAAATATAATAAGCTACTTACTATAAAATACAGCCGCTTAAACCAGTTCGAAAGTTGTTTGTTAAATAGGTAGTGTACGTTTTCATATACTCGTAAATATAATCATGAACCCTCATAAAATTAAAACACATTCTAATTTTATTACGAATTGAAATGTTCCAAGCGCAATTTCATTTTTTTTAACGACAATTATAATAATAATGTCGTGGGAATCACATATTGTTTTTGCAATTTGAGAATAATGGTTTATTTTATTTTTAAAGTTCCTTGATCTATAACGAGCCCAAATAGTTATGCCATGTCAGTCCATTAGGCCATACACCATTTGACTCAAAGATTACTTTTTTCATTATAAAACTGAAGTGGAATATGTACGAATATGTACTGTACGAGTATGTACATACCTACTCATATTAATTACAACGAAAAACGGTTAAATACAATCTTGAAAAGTATATAACCACCCAGAAAAACATTCATCTCGAATCTTACGTGTTAACGTAGGATGGCTTAAGCCTTGTAGAGCTGAAGCGTATTTATTGGACCAGACGCGATATCGGATGGTTTACAATTTTAGACGGCACTTATTCCAAATATCTCAATACTTGATACACTTAGTATTTCTGTAAATTACACGATTTTTGACACTATATAAAAAAAATTAGACATCATATTTGCGTGTGCGTGCCATTTTCACAGAGTATTTTTCACCATCTCACCATTTTCGACTGTAACAATACGGAACAGGATTCCGCACGACAATAATTTAAAGGAATAGATGCTTGAAGAATCGCGTTAAACATTAAGTACCGATTTATGTCCTATTTGTTTGTAAACAATGTTCCCAATAAACTAATAGCATCTTGTCTGACCAATTAGTATGTGAAAGTAATTATACTAAATAGATTAACGGATTAGGTTTCAAATTTACACCACCATCTTGGGTCCGCACGTAGGCCCTGACCTTTTTCTATCCATGTGAACCCATGTATTAGTTGGCTAATGATTGTGGGTTACTAGCGGGTAACTAACTATTTCGTATAACATGAAACAGACAAATATGTTTCCTCAATTTATACTTAAGTACTAAAACGTCACAAGTGATAAATAAATATCAAAATGGTTTCTCATGTAAGTATTCGTTAAAAACACTCTTTAGAGGACACAACCAAAATATAGTTATTAGGAAATTATATTATGTAATTGTGCAATAAAATAATCACCTAACGTTTATAATAGAAGCGCTATTACACGGTAAACGGTTTCCTTTAAAACATATTATTTTATTTAAAAAATGAATTATCATCATTGTAACAACATAATAGAATGTCAATTGTTGTTTATATTTTTTTGTGATACTTAAAATAATAAGAGTATGTTTTGCTAAAAAATCTGAATCGAATACGAAATTCCAAGTTCAATGACCTTTGAGGTGAAACGCAACAAGGTTATCTTTGAGCGTCATTAGATGACGTTGATGTCTTTCATTGAAAAGTAAGGTCTTTAATTCTTTTGTAACTTCAAATCTTAAAGATCGATCTTATTTTAACATTTTATTATTGAAGTACACATGTTTTTTACCTTATTAAGGTTACCAAATATTTCCAAACAATCAAGAAATTACTCGCTATTCACCCGTTGCGCACATTTTACGTACCGTCGTGTGTTGTGAATGTTACCTTCACTTTTCAACAACAAATTTGATTTTCCAATGCCATTTCCAATTTGAAATGAAATAATATATTCATATATATTATTATTTGTTTGTTAAAACTTTATTATTACACACAGAACTGTACAAATGGCGGACTTGCCTTTAAGCATTCTCTACAAGTCAACCAGAGAGCTTTATATAGATAATACATGAGGGGGTGGGTAAGACATTAAGCAAATATTAATGTGTACCTACAACATATCTTCTTATACATAAACATATAGAATGATAACTTAATGAATGTATATTTATTATTAGTACATGTTATTATTTAAATGCATATTATACATACGGCTGACTAGAAAGCTTTACTAAACAAAGCAAACTTTAATGTTGACGTTGCAACAGACAATGTTGTTCCTAGTTCCGTATAGTAATTATGAGTTATCGGCTCGTAAGCAGTAGTTCCAGTTCCGTCTTGTGAGATCTATGTTGACAAATCTTACAAAGCGAGTCTACTTTATTTTGCTTGTCAATTATCTTTTATATTATGGTGGCTATACTTTATTTCATTTTTATTATTTTTAAATTACAAAAATCATAGGAAAACAAAATTCGCAATTTTTGTCGATTAAAATAGTAATAAAAGGGTATCATATAAGTTTTATTAATTCGTGCCAAAAACTTCCTGTTTATTTTAATTTTATTGTTTTTTTTAATATCTAATTTAATTTAATAAAAAATTATCTCCTACTACTTCACTGTAGAATCAAAAATCTCCTACGAATCTCCCACAGCTCTAGAGCCTAGATATTTCAACATATAAATATACAGCTATACACATTTATCATCTCCAAATGAATAAGAACCTGTAAATATCGATAAGTCACGATAATAATAAATAAAATCGATAAGATAAGGATTTCATCAACACGCATTAAGATTATGCAAGAACATTCAATCAACACGTAAACCTTATTTATTTTTAGACCCTACTAACTATATATATTTCTCTCTCATTCATACTGCATTCAATCAAAATCCACTACACGTTCAATACTGTATTAAACGTTGAATGCGTTTATGTACATCAATCCGATGTATTGAACGTACATACTGTAGATATCTAACAATACAGTATTGAATGTTGAGTTTATTTTGATTGAATCCAATGTTAACGAAATAAAGGCTTATGTAGTTATGCAATAAGGCCCCAGTTCCAATTCATATTAATTTTGCTGCGGTTCACCTCAGTCGGTATCTTGCAAAGAGGGCCGGGTCTTTCATGGGGGGGAGAGAAAAGGCACCCTCTACGGGAAAGATTTCGTATCCTATCACGGGCATATGTAACCATTCGATTTTTCAAGTATTCTTCTATACTATGGATATCAGTATAGCATTGTGATTGCAGATTTGTCAAATATTTCTAAAACTTAATCTGAGCTTTAGATCATAACACTTTTAGGCACGCATAGAAAATGGTTGCTATTCGATAGAATAAACGCCAATAATAAGCTGATATATCCTAGGCCTAAACTAGCACTAAGATCAAAAGCCTTTCCGTGGAAAGAACCACATCGATTAGTCATAACCCACCAGTTGTATATTGGTATATTTTAACTATTGCAAGTGCAGCAGCAATTAACGTATTGTCTTAACAACATAAAGACAAGAAAATTCCTGGGATGGAATAAAGATTCTTTGCGCGTTTTACTACTACTACTAACTGTAAATATAGTAAAGAAATTCTACAATATCGTACGAAGAAATTACGAATTTCCACACTCGTGGTTTCACACGTGCAACTACGGCAATGCGTTATCGCATTGTCTTGCTGGCTTAGAGACACGCTGCAGTCACGTTGCTTATGCACTTTCCGTATGTTTCATAAAGCAACGCTATATTCAATGTGCCAATCTCATACCACAACAAATACCTATTGATATGATTAATGAAACTGCCATTCTGCATATTGCGTTTAAAATTTTCGATTAGTTACACATAAAGATGGTTTTTATAATCGAGAATTCAAATCAACATTTATGAAGCGCTATAGTATCCTGAATTTTATAGTGAAACAATAGCAACAAATACCGAATCACTTTAGTGTTATTGATCTATAATGAAATTGTTATTTAGTATACTCTGGTAGACCTAAAGAGCTATTATATTGTAATAGTCTCGAACTCTTTTCTATCAAATAAAACCTACATTTACAGATAATAAAGATAGAAGACATGAAAGCACTGCGTTTGTAGACGATTGAGAAGCTGTTTTAAACAGATATATCTGATCTATAAAATCAGATCAGACAAATTAAGCCAAAACTACATAAACGTTAAATCCAGAAAACGTTATTTGCTTAACTTGCGTATCGCAGATAGAAAGCACTTACCAATACACCATCGAGTTCGCTTTACAATTGACGTTTCTACAATCGCACGATACTAAGAACAAAATTCATATTGTTATAGATAGATATTTCAATATATTTTATGCTACGCTTTTAATAATTCAAATGCAACAAACATCTTAGTCAAGTGAACATGGAAGTCGAGGATCTAAACGTCTGAAAATGAAATAATTATTCAAAAACACTCCCGTTTAAAATCCATTTATGTAACAAGGTATTTAAAAAAGTACTTGTAAAGAAAGTTACTTCCAAAAGCTTTTAAAAAATACCGATAAACATAAATAATTTCGAAATGCGATTTATAAATAAGGTAGTTATAATCAATTACCTGTGCATGAACAGTTTATTGCGGTATCCAGCAATTCAGCGGCTAACCAATAATCCTCCTTATTACCTTTGCGGCTTGTATGTATTCCGATTTCACAGCGTGCTTTCAACTCATTAAATCTTTGAAATTCAATTCATTTCGCATTTTATGCTCGAAGTCACGTTTTTTTTTACATAAACATCATGTGCGCTGAACAAATGAGTTTAGGTCTGTGCAACATGATTACTAATTTGATTGAGGCATAATTAAAAAGTGAACGGTCATTACTAATCGCTATCCTTCGCCGAACTATAATAGACATATCAGCATATGTTTCAAATGAAATCTCAAAGTTCCACAGTATATTATGAATTTAACTGTCAGTAAGTTATGGTAAAATTCTATTTTTAGGGTACCCCCACCCCCCTATATGTAAAGTGAGGATGATTATAATAACTGATCCATTGAAATAGTTTTAAAATCTTTACACACATAAAACATATCATAAATTCAAAAGCAGAATAGAAGGCTCAACAGTTTGGACCCATTCAAATTATACGAGGCTCCGATGATTGTTCAAAAAGGAATTCAGTAGTACTGAATAGCATTCCAAACTAATGGGCTTGTTTTTTCTTTTTAGTTTTTAGTGAAAGTAATTATATATTTTTTTCACACAGTTGGGTTTTTTGTTTTCTATAAGTTGTTTTTTTTTACACAAGGACAATTTTTGAAGTTTAAAACTTTAAAGTTGCATCTCAGGTCAATCAATGGTTAGAGCAGTCGCCCGAATTGCGGAAGGTTGTGGTTTCGAGTTCTATCTCGTGGTACTGAGGCTGGTGGATATTTAAATATTTCCTTAAAAATATTTATCAGTATAACATTCTGAATACAACATTGATCAAATATAATAATTTAAAGTTATAATCAATTAGGTGTTTGTACTCACAGAGATACTAACGGTGTCTCTAGTTTTGCAAACAAGATGACTGCTCGAACTAAAATTGTCGAAATTCGCAAGCACATTTTTCTTAAGACCATATTTTATTTATTTTTATTTTTTTCTCTATCTCTGTTTATAATGTATTGGTCTGGTAATGACATGGTTTTTGTAAATGTCATTACTCTTATTAGAGCTGGTGAGTTTCTTGCTCGTTCTTCTTATCAGCCAAAAAACGTCCTGAACGAGTGGTAGGGAAAAAAATTTTGGACGATTCAAAAGTACTTTTAAGGAGTCTATTTGAATAAAGATTATTTTGACTTTGACTTTGACATTTCCATCAATATTCAGCTATCTGCCTTAAAAGTCGAAAAATTATTTCAACTATCGATTAAAAACATTAAAACGATCTTTTTTCTTTAAGGTAAATATAGAATTAGTAAAGAACATTATTTTACCTACAAATGCACTTGATTGAAAAAGGGAACGTGCAAATTCCATTGAAAATTACTTAGATAAAATCGTTATCTGTGAAAACGAGTTGAGTTCAACACTGCGCGTACTTCGTACTTAACTGGCTTGATACATTTATTTATAATGTACAATGACTTTGATTTTACGAATAAAAAGAACACCAATCTTAGCTAAATTCATCAAAAGAGTGATTAATAAGTATATTATTTCTACATTTTTAAAAGTTTCGAGTCCCTGGGTCCATGATGAGTTAATTCAAATTTCTCTTGTAACAGTATTCCATTTCTGCACACACCACTAAGTTCTCAATATTCCCACTAATGTCTTATAATAATTAATTTATTTGATGCTAAATTATTGATTTACTTATTCATTACATATGGATTATTTTATCCATTTATCATCAGCACAGACAGGCTTTCCCTATTAATGGAATCGAATCGAACTATATTCCTCCACGCGGGACAAGCAGATTGCTGGGTATTAGTGACGTAGTTGGGACTGTTTGACGTGCGTCGTGAAGCACGGGGAAGCTGGAGATATTTACAGATATCATTTCTATATTTGTAAGAATGAATACGTATATTTGTTTATTTTTAAATGTATTTACTGGCATACGCAGTAAATATTAATGCATTAGCAACCGAAATATTTCAAAAGGTAACAAATACAATAATGTCATTTAAATAATTAGGCATACAGTTTAAAATTACTCAGGGTTACCTAGCTAGGTTACCATTTTTTTTCGAATGACGACGTAATTACTAGAGATTTTCTGACGTACGTGTGCCAAAAAACGTCCCTCATTATCAGTAGGGATATTATGGAACATTACACAGTGGAAAAGCATCATATAAATAATTTTCAACTGTTTTTGTACCAAGAAATAACGTCTATGCTGTAATTACAATAGGATTGCAATGACGCAACGACTAGCGGTATCAGTGTGCGAGGCGAAAATTAAGAAACTTTTGCAGAAACCATAAGATGGGTGACCAAAAATTTATGCACTATGGACATTTATAGACTGATGATTATGGCGATGATGTGTTATCATATTTTTATAGCGAGTCATCGATATTTTTACACACTTTCGAACATAACAGTTATTGGTCTTAATTCGATTAGTTTTATCTTTTAAAAGTAATTTTAAGTTTGTGAAAACAAAAGAAACAGTTTTTGTGGTTTGTAAATGTTTTCCTTGAAGTCTGTAATACTCTTTAGTTACTATTTATAGAAACAGAAAATTAAAACAAGCCTATATTAATTGTTTATTTATTTTCCGTATTAGTAAATAACTCAACTTTGCTTGCAAGATTTCACTTTCAGGTGTGGAATGTGGAATTTCGCTACAATCAAAAGTGCAATCCAATCAATCAAGTTTGGATTCGTTTGATTTGTCAAGAGTAGCTCGGTGACGTAGTGGATAAACACCTCAGCCCGCGCAGTCATTGTTGTTAAGCAACTTTTGCGAGGGTCGGTCACGGGGTAGGTGCCCAAATAATAATATCTCGAGCTGCTCCGTGCTTGGGAAGACAATTTAAGCCGTTGGTCCCGGCTGCTTTTACAGTTGTTTTACAGCCCTGAGCACCTGAAGGGGGGACATTAATAAACTGATGATGATTTGTCATGCAATGAAAACTTTGAAGTTAAATAACATTACAATCATTAGCCTTTTAACGTGCCCACTGCAGGTTCTAAGGCCTTTCTTATGGATGGGTAAGGAGGCCATCCTCCTTAATCATGACCACGACCATGATCCTCATTTTCATTATTTAGCTTGCCCATTTTTCTATCCATAACGGGCATTAAACATCACAAAACCAAAAAATTCTAAATCAGATAGCGTCTAAAACAAAATTACAGATCCTATAAAAAATCATTTCTTTTACAAATTTTACTCACTTTTCAGTTCGACCTCGCCTGCCAGGATTGGAAGCGTTCCCTCGTCGGGACCGTCCACAACGCGGGCTTCTTCATCTCCATCCCTCTCACTGGGCTCATATCTGACAAGTACGGGCGACGGCTCGCCATTGTGTTCGCTTCGGTAGCGAATGGCGCGTTCGGATTGATACGAGCGCTCTCCGCGAATTACAACATGTTCGTAGTGTTCGAGTTTCTGGAGCCAGCGTTCGGTGGAGGTCTTTACACGGCATGTTTTGTTCTTGGTAAGTAATTATTTTGCCTAAATATAAAAACAATACCTTGAAAAATACTTATTATATTTAAAATAGTAATCTACTATTCAATATACTATTCTACTAATATTATTTCAAATAAAATATTTTTGATATACTAAGGCAAAATTTTAGTTTGAAATATAAGAAAAATGAATTTATTTTAACTATACATCATTAAAAAATGCCTTTAGCATTTTTAACATATTATTATATTAAAGAATTCCGCCTTTCTATCAGCTTGCCTCTCTGCTAATTAGTGACGTACAAGAGATCGCTCTAAATAAATAAAACTTGGCCTCGTGTTTACTCCAAACTTACCCTTTCCCTTTCACCAATAAAACAAGTTCAATCTAAATCATGAACCGTATTTTTTTCTGTCAATCGTGTATTTTTTATCGTAAAAATAAAGACTGTCGTAAGAAAACAAAACCTCCTTGTTTTTCTTTTTACCAAAACAATTACATATAAAAGAAATATCTACCTATACATACACCAGTCAAATCAAATAGGTATACATTTACACCTCTTTGCGCTTCTTTAACTACATACTCTTCTTCTTTATTTGTTTACCGATTTAAAATTTATTAATCTGTACTAATAATATAAAGAGGTAAAGTTTTGTAACTTTGTTTGTCGCCTAGAAACTTTCGAAAATACAAATCCAATCATGAAAATTTATTCACTTGCGGGAAGCTACATCGCGTATGATGTGACAAGTCACATATCGGCTATAATTTACGCAGGCGAAGTCGCAGGAAAACAGCTAGTTTTAAAATCAATATGTTTGAGGCTGATTTTATCACACAATAGCGTAGCAGTGCTCAAGTAGTAAAGATATTTATGACTTGATGATGATGATTTTAAAATCAACCATGACCATGGATATTCAAATGCATTTTGTATTTAAACTAGTCATATTATTCATTGAATAAATATTTATCTCTTTTAAATAAGTATAAGTACAGTAAACGTGACATGACGTTGATTGCAGACTGCTAATTGATCAATGACATAGCTCTTGTATGCTTTAACAAAGTCCTAATGTGTCAACATTAGTAAAATCCACTGCATTTGTCTGCAAGGATATCTGTAAAGGTCAAAGTTTGCCAAATAAATCGAATGGTAAATAACGTGCGATTAACGAGATTCTATATTTCCTAGTAGGCCCCTGTGAATCCTCTTTTTTGTAGGATTTTAACTTGCCGTTTTAAATAGTGTGGGTCAGATCTTGCGAGCTAAATTTAATCCACTTCCTGGTTTTCGGTTAAGCTCAAATTTTGCATTACTAACATTATACGTAGCAATTACATTTTGAGCTCTTTTGATTAGTTTTAACAAGGACTTTGATCCTAGGTCTGATAATGGGATTGGAATGTAACCATTGAAACTTTTTGATTAACTAAAGCAACTCTTTCTTATTTGGACTCCTTTGATTTATCTATATAAGAGGGTCCAAAAAAATAATTTTGAATTATTTATTAGACAATCACCCATTTGCATTAAACATATTTAAGGTCATCAATACATTCGTGTATTTTATAGAAATAATACTAAAATAGAACTTAATAATTCACTTCCGTGATGATCTCCATACCAAACAGCAATATTTAAAATATCTTAATTAGGCACAGTAACCGATACTATGCGATATATAAACCGCTGTATCGTTACTAATTCGACCTTTTTGTTAACGGTTCACGAACCTTGACTGATTTGTTACAGTTTTTTTTTTATATAAGTTAGGTTCCATTTCCTGATATTGTTTTAGGCACTTTCTTGTAGCTTCAGAAGAGGTTATCAAGCATGACCAGCAAAGTCATTGCTATTTTTATAGGAAACCGTTTCGAATAATCAATGTTTACATTTCCTATTATCACTTGATTTTGAAATGTCAAGGTCAAGGTCATGTTGCAAAATATAATTAGTGTAATACAAACTTTATGTCGTGAAATATAGACTCAATTGTAATGATTTGAAATTTAGCAGTCGTCAGAGAATCTGAATGACAGAGATGCGTGAAGGTGAAGAAAATGCTGCACTTCGTTAGTAGCGTTTAACTCAACGTCGAGTACAGCGTTGTCACAGCACAGAAGTTAAATTAAATTGAACCTACTCCAAAAGATAATGAAATTTGTTTTTAAGCTCTCTACTGTGACAGCACTATACTCGACGTTAGCTACATAATGTGCAGGTACCACATGCTATAGCTTACGCGTGCAGAGCCGCGGTAACAGCGACTATACCTATAATAAAAAAACTAATGTCGTTTTTTCATTTTTTCTAGCATTGGAATTAGTTGGCCCAAAGGGGAGGGTGTTCGTCAGCCTTCTCTTCAACACCATGTTTATCCTCGGAGGTGTTACTGTCACCTTACTCTCATGGTGGCTGCAGAACTGGAGATACCTACTCTTCATTATATACACTCCTTCGGTGTTCGTGTTCGTCTACATGTGGACGCTAAGCGAAAGCTTCAGATGGTTCTTCAGCAAAGGTCGTTACCAAGATGGCTTGGACGTTCTCAGCAAAGCGGAAAAATTCAACAAAGTCACAGTACCAAAAGACCATTACAACCAAGTAGAGAAACACGCTACGCAACAGAGAGACGCCAGAAAATTTCAATCTATGGAAACAAATCAGTCTTCATTCAAACAATTGCTTACATCTATGATGATATGGAAGAGATTGTTCATATGTTCTTCTCTTTGGACTGCATCTACTTTGGTTTACTACGGATTGTCCATAAATGCTATAGAACTTTCGGGGAATAGTTACTTGAACTATATTGTGGTTATAGTGATAGAGGCGCCGGCTAATGTCTGTAAATTGATCCTGCTGGATAGATTCGGGAGAAAGAAGGTCATCGCGATAGCGTTCTTACTGACTGGAATCATTTTGATCAATTACGGCTTTGTACCAGGTAATGAAATATCAGTACCTACCTTCTTTATTCAATAGGGATGATCACTAATTTTTGTTTGTTTGTCCGTCATGTAGAGTGTTAAAAAATATTAAACACGTATTTTTTTCGTAATCATAAAATTACGGCGTTACATGGAGTTGAAATTTCGCATGACGTCACGTTAGGGTACGTTTTCTACTCAACTGTGACGTAGCGAGACCCCACTCCTCAACTTTAATGCCTGTTATCTAAACTATTTCTTGTTAAATTGAAGTAAAAAAAAAATACGTATCTAATATTTTTCTATTATCTGACTGACAGACTAATTAGAATTGCTTTTTTTTAGCCCGTCATCATCCCTATTTAAAAAGTTTTTAAATTCCAGGTTAGATCTTTACCGCAAGTAAATATAGATGTTACGTTATTCAATATCAACATCATCGGGCGCAGGCCTTCCCTATGGATTCGATATATACATGAATGAGAATAGGCCATGATCTACGTGAACCCAGTGCGGATTGGTGGGTGTTAACGAAAACAGATGCAACCGGGACCAACGTATCAAAAAATATTTTTTGTTCACCCATCCTATAACAGGCACTTGCAAAATTTATTCGATTGTTACATCATAGACTTGACGCGCTAGCCACTCCGCATTCGAGTTCCTCTTAATAAATAATATTGGTCACAAATTATATTCATAGATAATAAAAATTATAGAATCAAAAACTTTTCGGTGAAGGCAAATCACTGCGTCATAGCTATGTAGAAATATACGAAGGTGAGACGCCCCATGATGTTTCAAATTAACGCATCGACGTAATTTTATGATTACGCAGTTGGTAAAAAATACTTGTTTCTCGGTAAATTAACTCCGAACAAAGTATTAGGTAGCCAACGCTCTTGTGCTCTTATATGAAGAGATGTACCATCTCCACTTAGAACCGAGACAATAAAGAAAAGCTCGTTTTCTACTTCCGCTTTAGATCAAAGCCCTCAAAGGCCTCATGTGACGACGCCATATAACCGGATTTTAAGCCTCTTCACTATACCAAGGCCTTGATAAACACAATTAACTATGAACTGGTTATACGAAAAAATACTTAATAAGCTAAACTCAAATTTATCCGAAAATAATGTTTATATATGTATTCATATGAGCATCGTTAGTTTATAATAGAATTATTGTCCATTAAAAAGGCCTGTGCCGCAGGCTGTGGGGATTTTAATAGGCCGATTATGATGATGATATTCTCTTTCAGAGGGCAACTGGTCTCTAGTGATGTACTTAGGTGGTAAGTTCTTCATCACGCTCGCGTACAACTCGCTGTACGTGTTCGCCGCAGAAGTGTTCCCGACTAATTACAGGACAACACTATTGGCTATGTGTTCAACTGTGGGGCGGATAGGATCAACAGTTGCACCTCTTACACCCCTACTGGTGAGATATATAAATTACTATATTTTTTACTTTTAAATTATTATCTATACATATAACCAATACAAAACAAAGTAGCTTCCTGTTGCCTGTACGCTGAGATTTTTTTTTTAAACTATACCACGGATTTGAATGTGATTATCATCGATGTACAAAATATGTTTCCGGGAGTTCAAAAGAGCAGTTGCCCAGTTCGCGAATAGTTGCGGATTCGAATTCCATGTCGAGCGCTTGAGACTGAAGTAAAATCATATTTGTCGGCACAAAAATATATATAAAAAAAGAAAACAATCTTTCAATTTCAATTATATCGGCACCTTTGAACGAAGAGTAAATGGATTTTATTTATTTTACAGGCGCGATTCTATGAATACCTACCCACAATGCTGTTCGGTGTAATGTCGGCAATATCGGCCGTACTCGTACTAACATTACCTGAAACTAACAACCTTAAACTACCAGACTCTCTCAAAGAAGCACAAGATCAAGACAGAAAGAGAGAACCCGAGGAAAAGAAAGAAGTACACAATAAGAAAAACGCGGAAGTAAGAAACGGCTTTTAATTGTGTATTTTAACATTATTATAGGCTACATTCAATTGTGTTAAATTAGTTCAAGCTGTTTCCATATTAGAATATATTTGCAAGTAGATTAATTGATTAATTAGTACAGAATGTATTGATAGAATTCATTATATATATTAAGGTTATTATTCATTATGATGCGACTGAATTACTATGATTTTTCATCTTTAATAGATATATTAATACAATACATGTAAATAAAAATATTACTTAGTATTTCAGCCAAGTTAATGTTTTGATCGATCTTTAAGTTTTTCAATACATATCAATCAAAGCTAAAGTAAAAAGCTTTTTAAAAATACTCGAATAAAATAATATTCTGTCGCTAAATTTTAAATTTTTAAGAATACAGGGTTTACGTATGTAAAGAAACAATTAAAACTTTTACTTTAAACAATTAAGAAGTATTAGTTTTATATTTTATACGGTTGATGCAAAATTGTGCTTAAAAAAATCATTAAAATTGTGTTTATAAACCTACTTTAGAAGATTCAAAGTAAAAATACATTTATGAAATTAAAATTAAAAATGAAATGAAATTATAAAGATTCGCCGTATAATATATTAATAGAATAATAATAAACAATATGCCCAAAAAAATTACGGCTCTTCAGCGTTAACAATGAAACATTGATAACTTAATGATGCTAAATCTAATACAAAACAACATAAAGTAATATTTCAGCGATAAATAGCATTGCGTGTTCAATTATAAACAAGGATTCGTCATTCGTTTGTCCTCGTTCCAATTTTGGTGCCTGCACAATATGTATTCTTTTCCAATACTTCTCGATCAGCCGTTATATAAACATTCACTCCTTTCTTACGCATATAGTCTTTCGCACGGTCTATCCATCTTTTCCTTACAGTATTTCCGTCCGCATTCATAATTATAACAAATTTTATCATAAATTATAAACAAGGCTTGTGACTTAATTTAAGATTAATGTTATAAGATTGAAAATATGATATTTTAAGTCTAGTTTTAATAATCAAATAAAACTTCTTTGAGATTGCAGACTCCATCTTTCCATTTATA